TTTTTTTTGGATTTTTAGACCCAGTCATTGTGGCGTGATTTAGGATTTCTTGACCCCCGACATCGCGGTTTAGATTTCTAGACCCTTGTGATGCGATTTAGGACTCAAGGAGCCAGTGTTGCGGTGTAGGATGCCGGATTTCCAGGTTCACGCATCGCAGTGGCTTGGGTACCGCATAGGTGTGACTGAACTTGCCGCGCCGTGCTGCCGCAGCGTAAGTGTGGTTCAGATGTCAAAAAGGAGAGCCTGTGGGGCCGGGCACGCCGCCAGGAGCTGACGGTCTGATGGGGAGTGTTCGCTTTGGTTTGTGGGTTCACGGTGTAGTTCATCTCAGCAAGATGTGGTCAGGTTGGCAGGTTCGGTGGTATTAGATAAATGTATTTTTGCATCATTTACAGCAAGAAGAAACCAAGGCTCGTGAAGTTTGTTACGGGCGTGTACTGAATTTAAACTCTAGGATCATGGCGCCATCAAATAGTGGGGATTTGACTAAAAAAATATTTGTTTAAACCCTTTCGCTTAAAGACTGCGAGGTTGCTTGACTGCTAAAAATCTTTAAATGTCATTGGGGCATTTTTTACCAAGGTAACTGAGACAGAGAATGGCTCCCTGCGGGGTGCCTTAGCCTCGCTGGAATGCGCGCCGAGCTCGGGATGGAGTGTGGGTGTGGCACCTCCATCCCCTGCACCAGTGGGAAGCCCCTGTTTGCCGCCAGCAGTAGGAGCCCCTCCCCAACACTCTGCTGAGTCACTGCAGATTCAGCTCCTGGGGTCCTGAATGGATGCCTCGAGAGGGACCTGAAAATGTGTGAACTGAGAGGTACAGGACAAAACAGCGGGGAGAAAATAACCCAAACCTAACGCCTGTTGTCATTCGCTTTCAAGGAGGTTCAAGGAGGTTCAGCCATGTAGCGTGTTTGCGGATCACAAATGGCGATAGAACTGTCATGTTGTGGTATTTTTCCAGTCATTTCTAGTATAGCTTTGAAAAGACTAAATCATTGTGACTGTTTAATGGACTGGTACTTTGGAGAGGAAAAAAGAAAAGACTGCCCCAGTGATGTCCAAAGCACAGGCAAGCGAGCTGAGATTCACTTCAGGGGGTGTTGTTTTACCCACTTTGACAGATTTGTTAAGAGAGTTAAAAAAAAGAGAAAAGCTTGTTTTATGAGTTGGATTACTTTGTGTGGGGTAGGGGGTGTAGCTAGATTGCAGGTAATATGCTGGGTGAGTTTATGTGCAGACAGCATATGTGCAACAACCGTTTCCACTAGGGTGTTAGCAATTAATTTGCTTTATTTCTACCTATTTTCCTGATAGCTCTAGTTTTAGTTTTTGAGGGTATTATTTCCCTTCTGTTCTGAGAACACTACTGAAAAACCCTTTCCTTGGTGGCCACGGAGAGCCACAAATAGACACAGGAATGGTGTCTAATTCCACTTTAACTCAGGCCCTAGGTGTGGATAAATTGATCTGGACCTAGAAATTCTGGGTGTGGCAAGCTGGGGGGTACATACCTGTGCTCTCCTTCAAAACCCCATCCCAGGTGCTGGGCTATGTCTTGCCTCATTTGAGGTGGGGCATGGTTTTTTATGTAATTAAATAAAAGGGAACTTGGAGAGTCTGCTAAGAAAGCAAAAATATAATCTGTTGCCCAGACTTGAAAGAGATTAGATATTCAGGATCAGGGCAAAGCTGCTTATGGGTGTGAAGTGCTGTGGCTATCTTGCTTTCAGACTCTACCCTCATCAGTTTCTCCCCCCAAATCAGATAGTAGTGCCTAGTAGTGCCAAAGGGGGCTAAGTATTCAAAATTAGGAGCAGCTCTGTACTTAAGGACATTAATAAGTTACATATATGCTTGAAAATTACACCTGGCAATAATGTATTTTCACCTAAAAAATGGCAACAGTGAACAGGTACAGTGATTGCCCCGTGGGCAGAGGTGCCCTCATGTTCTTCTTGGTGAACTTTCTGCCATGGTTCATATGGGGTGGGGGCAATGTGTTCACCTCCAGCACCAAAGTTTCCTACCCATGTACCTTTGTTTTTTTTGAGTGTACAATGTTACCCTGGCTGCTTCTCCCACAGGATGAGGGAGTGGTGGGTCCAGGTGGGGCTGCTGGCAGTGCCCTTGCTGGCAGCGTACCTTCACATCCCACCCCCCCAACTCTCTCCTGCTCTGCACTCATGGAAGACGTCTGGCAAGTTTTTCACCTACAAGGGACTGCGAATCTTCTACCAAGGTGAGAACTGGACTATCCAAAAACTCTGTGGCCGTGCGTCATGTAGGTCCCAGCTAAGGTACTTATTTTACTCCTTAGTGATAGAGGGGGGTAACCTTTTCTGTATGCTGTGCAGGAGGAATGGGGTAATTCCTCTCCTTCATTTGAGATCAGGGCACTTAGTTGCGCAGAGGGCGGGTGGAATTGAGATTCTAACCTCTATATACTTGACTTAGTCAGTTTTTTTTCCAGCCTGATTTGAGTTCAGATATTAGTTTTCCCTTTTGAGCACCCCTAGTGTCAGGTAAGATGCATACTATTCGGTGAGGTGCCTTTGTTTACCCCCCTCCCTCCATTTTACTGTTTTCCATAATTTGTTATATGTGTGCCTAAATATGATTTGTCTTACATTGTTGTAAAATTAATTTGCTGATGATTATTATGACTGCTACTTATCAAGTAATTGCCGCATGCCAGGATTTGAGTTATATTTTAACCTTTATTGTTTCATTTACTCTTTATAACAGCACTTGGAGATAGGTACCATTAATCTCATTTTATAGGTGAAGAAACTCAGAAAGATTGGAAAAGATGTTTTTGGGCGGGGGTCAAGAGCAATAACGAAAAATGTTTGTTTGTTATAAACCGTTTTTCATTATTGCTCCTGACCTCCTCTCATTTGTTATATTCAATTAAGTAAGTATATCATTTTATGTTGGTTGGTTGGGTTTGTTTCCAGATTTTTCAGTATTTAGTATTGCAGATTATTTATGTAGATTCTTTAGAATAAGGCTCCTAGGCTAAAGTCCCTAACATTTTAGTTGCTTCTAATTAAGTTATTTTTGAAAACCTTTTACCAAATTTTCATGCCACTGGCAGTATTAATTTGAATTCAGTACTGTTGGCAAGGTATTTTATTGTTTAATTTGAAAGATGTTATATGTATATAAAAAGTTCTTGTTTATATTAACCCATTTTTTGTAACTGACAGAATTTTGTAATGGTTTGAGTACTGTATTTTTGATGCTGGGTTGGCTGTCCTCTGCTAAAATAGAAAGTATTAGACAAACAGCATAAACTGGGAAGTGCTTACTGGGAAGAACTGCCAAATCTTAGAGAAATGTAATAAGTTAGTGATAAGGTACAAAACCTTTTTGTGTGTCATGATTATAAATTTTTAACCCATTTACATTTTATTTGAAAAAATTAATTTGTATTTTTAATGTTAATAATGTTGAAATAAGGATGTCCATAAAAAAATCTAAGCGATAGCGAGCTTCTTCAAATATTTTCATGTGAAGCTTGCTCTTTACAATTTCAAAATACATATTAAAAGGAGAAACTCCTTTTCTTGCTTGCATTTCATACACAATGTATCATTTTAGTACCATTAATTTGGTATTAAAGTTAGATTTTGACATTTTCAAGGGTAATTTGTAGGGTATTTGCCTAATTTGTCTTTCTCCTCCTTTGCAGACTCCGTGGGTGTGGTTGGAAGTCCTGAGATAGTTGTACTTTTACATGGTTTTCCAACATCCAGCTATGATTGGTACAAGGTAATGAAGTGAGATTTCTAGGTCCTGCTATGTCTTAAAAGTATCCAAGCACAAGATTTTTGTTGGTCCTGGGAGGTTTGAATTGCTTAATAAAATAGCATTAAAGGTAGAACTGCGTCTCATTTACTATAAGGGAGTAAAACACTCTGGCAGCCTGAAAGGACCGTTGCCAAGTTAAAAAGGCTGGAGTTATGCTTTTGATAATATTAAATGTCAGGAATAACACACTTTCCAAGAGGATTATCCAGGGCCTGTTGCTGTTTCATGAGTTTTTTTGATTTATCAAAGCCGGCTGTTAAGCTAGGTTAGGGATGAGGCAGCTGTACCACGGTGGGGCAGGCACAGAGGTGTAGGAGCAGAGTGTACACCATTGCTTTTTCCTTACAGATCTGGGAAGGTCTGACCCTGAGGTTTCATCGGGTGATTGCCCTTGATTTCTTAGGCTTTGGCTTCAGTGACAAACCGGTAAGCAGCATCTCAGTAGGACCAGTGATGGGTTTGGGTAGATACAAATGGAGGGATCAGGCTGGCAAAAAGATTTGCCCTGATGACCTCATGCCGTGTCTCTCCTTTCCTTTCGTCAGAGACCACATCAGTACTCCATCTTTGAGCAGGCCAGCATTGTGGAAGCACTTCTGCGGCACCTGGGGCTCCAGAACCGCAGGGTCAACCTGCTGTCTCATGATTATGGAGATATTGTTGCTCAGGAGCTGCTATACAGGTCAGTGAAGCCAGGCTTCTGTACTCACCACAGGTCCTGGAAGCTTAAGATGCCAGGAAAATAAATCATTCTAGGAAATTTTCAAACCCATTCCTTTGGGGGTTGTTTGCAGCCCCTGCATTGGTGTCCAGTCTCTCAGCTACATCTATGTTTCTTCTTCCCCTGCTCCAGGTACAAGCAGAATCGATCGGGCCGGCTTACCATAAAGAGTCTCTGTCTGTCAAACGGAGGTAATTGCCTTGGTGGTAGGTGCAAAGTGGGGTGTAGCCTACAAAAGCCACCTTTAGGTCACAAAGACAGCTATATGGTAATCTGACATTACAAGCAAATACAGTTAAATGCGGTGGGGGGATGGAGGGAAATGGCGATGGGATGGGTCGGGACTTTTTACTTTTTGTGCCATCAATGGTTTTGAGGGCCTGATGGCATTTATGGAATAAATGTTTTCAAATATAGAAAATAAAAAGACTTCCCCCTCCCCCCTAGGAAAAAAGGGATGGCGAGATGGCTCAGTGAACAAGGATGCTTGCTTGTCAAGCTTACAACTTGAGTTTGATTCTGGTACCCACACAGTGGAAGGAGAGACCTGATTCTCGCAAGGTGTCCTCTGACCTCCACACATGTGCTTTGGTACACATGTGCATACACGCTCATAGAAAATAAAAAGACTTCCCCCTCCCCCCTAGGAAAAAAGGGATGGCGAGATGGCTCAGTGAACAAGGATGCTTGCTTGTCAAGCTTACAACTTGAGTTTGATTCTGGTACCCACACAGTGGAAGGAGAGACCTGATTCTCGCAAGGTGTCCTCTGACCTCCACACATGTGCTTTGGTACACATGTGCATACACGCTCATACACAATACAAAACTATTAAAAAAAAAAAAAAAAGGGCATTACCAAAAAAGTGATTCTATTGACTTGGCCAATAAGCTGCTTCCTTTGTAAAGCACCTAGATAGTGAGATCTAAGGTGGGTCTTAGAATACAATGCACTCTTGCTATCTGTAAACACCTAATAGATTATGAAAGAACAGGTTTGAAGGTGTATGTGGTGATGGTTGGTTCTGATCCATCTGTAGTTTGTTAATACCTGATTCTTAAACTCTTAATTGATGGCAGTGCCAAGTGTCAGTTGGAAATTAATGAATCTTGGACCATTTGGAGATGTTCCTTTTTCTTTGCCTGCCATTGAGCCCATCAATCCATAAATATCAAAAAATACCCCAAACTGGATGCCTTAAGAGCAGCTTGGGAGAAGAGTCTCTGTCCCATTATCAATGACATTCTTGGTTTTCTCCCATTGACTCTGGAGAGCAATGGAAAAGGAAAAAGTAGTTTTCCTTTTACTAGGACCTATGCTTACTGAAAAGCGTGAATACATGCACGTGTTTGCCGACCAGTTCATTAACACCACTGTGTATTCTCAGCAATGAGAGGAATGTGAGGGGGAATGTGGGCCTAGGCATCAGCATTATGGATCAGCATATAAATTATTTTCTCCCATTTTTTTTAACCTTTAAAATGAGGAAAGCAATTCCAATGTGATGTAACTTGACAAAGAATATCAGAGAATTGGATAATAGCATAGTCATGTCTCACTTAAGGAAGGGGATACATATACATGCACTTCCTTGTTGAATGCAAGTTGCTACTCAGTGCATAACTTTTTATTTGTAATCTGCTTTGACAGTTAAGGCCCCAAAGGTGACAATGATTAGGGTAGTTTCCAGTAATATAGGCTTGCTTTGGACTTAAAGTTGTTGGTAAATGACTAAGGGAAGTTTTTCTTTGTACAGGTATCTTTCCTGAGACCCATCGCCCTCTCCTTCTCCAAAAGGTTGGCAACTTCACTGAATAGCTAGGTCCTCAGTTTAAAGATGTGTGATGACACAAATAAATTGGGACCTTTAAGGGCAATACCTGCTGTAATGGTCAGTTAAAATCTTCCTCATTAGGAATTCACATTAATGAAGATAGTTTCCCCCTACTTAAATAAAGTAGCTTCTCCTATATAAAACCAAAAATTACTTCTAAGAATAAGAGGTGAACAGATATTTGGAGAAATACAACTATGTGAAGAGCTGTGTTATGTTTGATGTCTGAATAAATTGGGATCCTAGAATAAAGTTGAATATTATCAGTTAAAAGTCTTAGGGATTTTGAGCTGAGCATGTGGTGTGGACCTGTAGATCAGCTACTTGGGATGATGAATGAGGTGGGGGGATGGCTTGAGTCCAGAAGTTGGAGGCTAGCCAGGGCAACAGAGACCCCATTTCTTTTTAAAAAAATATCAGGGACTTAATGAAGCATAGAAACACAGTATTCTTTTTAAAGATTTATTTTATGTGTATGATATTCTGCCTGCTTGTTTATAGGTCTACCACATGAGTACAAATGCACCACATGTGTGCAGTGCGCACAGAGGCCAGAAGAGGGCGTCAGATCCTCTGGAACCAGAGTTACAGATAGTCGTCTCTTAGCTACCATGTGGGTGCTGGGATCCAAACCCGGGTGCCCTGGAAGAGCAGCCATTGCTCTTAACCCCTGGGTCTTCTCTCTAGCCCTGAAACACAGTATTAAAGGGAATTCACTTTTCAGAAGAAGATATGGCTAAATTTCTATTTTAGTTCACAGTATACAATCTGGGGAGTTGTCATCTTTCTCTGGATCCTTGACTTTTACTTTTACTTATTACCTACAGCTACTCAAAGATGGAGGTGTGCTGTCTCCTATCCTCACACGGCTGATGAACTTCTTTGTATTCTCTCGAGGGTAAGTCATTATCAAAGACTGACTATGGCTTGAGAATAGTGTAGTAAAAATTTGCTGCTGTTACAATTCTGGGCCAAAAAAAGCCTGGACTTTGAGGTTTTCAACCAAAGGTATTGACCCCGTTCCAGAGATGTATAAGGAATTTCTAAACCCTTTATGGGTCAGACTGTGTGACCTTCTGAGGTTCCAGATATATTTAACATTCTGCACTCTCTCCCTGCATTTTATACTCCAGTCTCACTCCAGTCTTTGGACCATATACTCGACCCTCAGAGAGTGAGCTGTGGGACATGTGGGCTGGGATCCGCAACAATGACGGGAACCTGGTCATTGACAGGTAAGAGAAATCTTTGCTTTGGGTTCCAGGAAGCTTTTTTAGAGAGTGAGACACGATGTAGGCTTGCTGGCTTCCTCCCTGTCATAAGAAGGCTGGCTAGGAACTATGAGGCAAACCTAAGACCATTCTGGTCTGTGTTTTCTAACAAAGAAATCAAGCACAGGGCAAGCTTTGCTCCTAAACCATTTGGCACAAAAAATGTGGATAAACAGCTGCAAATTCTAGCATTTATTCAGCTTGTCATTAACTGAATGACTTTGGCAAATCCTTCTTTAGACTTTTCTGGTAAATTTAAATGTTTCAAAATGTTTTAATTACAGCTGTGAAAGGAGCCTAATGCCTCTTTCCAAGCACAAGGCTTTTCCTTTTGACCGTCTTTTCCATAGTAACAGAGATTGAGATGCAAGACTTCTCCCTGTCTTTCACAAAGACTCCCCATGCTTTGGTTCGAATGAGAGTATAGCTGTCTTAGAGGGACTGAGAGATGGTGATATACGTAGCTACCTGATATGATGCCCTGTCCTTTTGCCAGCTGGGTCAGTGTAATCCCCAGTGTTGAATTGATGGCTTTGTTGGTAACTGTGAGAGAGAAAGCATTCCTCCCTCTTACCTCACAAGATCCTTGAAAATTGTTTAATACAAAAAATTTGAAAAAGACACGCCACACTTAAAAAAAATGTCCTATTTTCCATTAATGACTATCCTGGAGTTGCCAGGCAGAACAATCTGAATGCTTGGTTGGGTGCTGCAAGAGGAGCTTTCAGCCTCTTACACTGTGGGAAGAGGAATTCTCCCCATTCCAAGGTCAGGTAGAGTGCAGTGATGAAGCTCTGTTTCCATCAACCTTTACCCTTGTAGTTTTAGAGGTGGAGACAAACTTGGAGATTATGTAGTTTGCTCTTATTTTAAAAGGAAGAACTGAGGTAACAAGAAGACAACAAAACCCTGTTTTATCTTTCGAGTCACAGAGCTGGTTAGTGGTGGAGCCAAAATTGGATTCGTACACGAGGCTTTAGCACATATACTCTAAATCAACTTTAATCATTAAGATCTCATTCCCTGTAGAGTAAGTGCACAGAACGATTAATGCTTATGTCAATAGTTGGTGATCACTGTCGTATCCACATATTTAACACAAATGGATGAAGTAGGTCATTTCCAAGATTTGAGGCTGCTTCTGGATTAAGATGTTTCTCTGTGCATCTGCTGGGTTCTTGAACCCCACTGATGATCAAGGTTTTTTGCTCTGCTGATTCATTTGTACTGTAGTCTTTTACAGTATATCAACCAAAGGAAGAAGTTTAGAAGACGCTGGGTGGGAGCACTTGCCTCTGTAACTATTCCCAGTGAGTATCTGCATGTGTATGTATATTTGAGTTACTTCTTGATAGGAAAACTTAAGGAATAGTGAGTGGGATTAAAATAATTGCAAATCCTGTCACCTCCATGTAGGCTTGCTAGATTAAGTAAATAAAAATATAAGGCACTCAGGCAAGTGGAGTTTTACATAAAAAAACAGTAAGTATGTGTTATACAATGTTTAGGAGATGTTTATTACCCTCCGTGTGCTTGCCTATGTGCACATGCACACACATACACACTCACACACATGCTAATCCACAATTTTTTTTTTTTACCTGAAATATTTAACTGGTCATCCTTTATTTCACTGGCAATCCTACTGCAAACACCTGGAATGTCAGGGTGATATTGCAAATGGAGTTGGTACCGTAGCACTGCCATTGACTGCCATATTAAATACTGAACTGTGGGGCCAGGAAGCTACTGAGGTCATTTACCAAGAGGCTCTAACCCTGGCACTCACTCCTCTCTTATTCTTACACATTTAAAAAGAAGTTGGGGCTGCAGAGATAGCTCAGGGGTTAAGAACACTGGCTGTTCTTGCAGAAGACCTGGGTTCGAATCCCAGCACCCATATGGCAGCTAACAACTGTCCGTAACTTCAGTTCCAGGGGATCCGACAGCCTCTTCTGACGTCTTCGGGCATTGCATGACACAGGTGCACTTACCTACATGCAGGCAATACATGCATACACATTAAATTAAAATGATAAATAAAATATTAAAAAGAAGTCAGTGTAGTGCCTCACATGTATTAGTGTACAAGAAACTACTGATTTTCAAATGCCAAAGGTCAGTTATAACAGAAGAAACTTAAAAGAATTATGATCATATCTACATTTCTAGAAAGCAAAACCTTGAAAGTGGGTTGTATTCCTTTGGTACAGGATGCAGAAGAGCCAGAGGAGGGCTCCTAATAGTTGTATGTAGGAGAAAATGTGCCACGTGGATTGACTGGCTTGCACTATATAGCCCACTTAATAAAAGAAGTGAGGTTTCTACATATATATATATATTTGTTCTTTTTGAGACAGGGTCTCCCTGTAGCCCCATCTGTCCTGGAACTCACTATGTAGACCAGACTGGCCTTGAACTCAGAGATCCACCTGCCTCTGCCTCCCGAGTGCTGGGATTAAAGGAGTGTGCCACCACGCCCGACCCATAATATTTTTTTATCTACAGAAAACCTTTTATGGAGGGGAGCTAATTTGGGGGTAGAACAGACGCGGAGCTGTTAGAAATCCACTCTTCTTTTCTTTCCTAGTTCATTTTATCTATGGGCCACTGGATCCTATAAATCCCTATCCGGAGTTTCTGGAGCTGTACAGGTGAGTCCTCCTCAGAGGTCTCTGTTTTGTATTTCTTCCTGACAGGGTAAACAGAAGTACCTTTTGAGGGTTGTTGTCTCTGACCTCATTGGAAACATACAACAAAGAGATGAGTTAGGGAATCTTATTCTCACGTAAGTGGAAAGAAAGATCAAGAGATTTAATTATACATTCTCTGAATCTGCACATCCTGTTTTCATTGTCATGGCCATAATCATATTCCTTCCTAGGTGAAGAGTAAGAAATTGAACCAAAGAAAGGAAATGGGGCTTATATGTTTTAGCCTGACTATAAAGCCAGTTCACTGACTAAACTGAAGCAGACTGCAAGGAGCAATTATAAACAGCTCACTGTGGACAATGCCTTTTCATTGGTTGTTACTCCCTTTGGGGAGTCACAGAAAAATGTTCCTTACCTTCATATGCTCTAGTGGACATAAACAGGCGGTAACAGCTTGCTTATAATTTTAGACAAAATCCCCTCTAGCATCTCCTAGTGAGATTAAGGAAGGTCCTTTGTTTATCTTTGCTTGGGCAGTGAGTTACTGAGCGACCCACTTGTTTGATGCTTCATGCTTCTCTAAGGAGCTGAACGTCTTCTTGGCAATTGTTACAGAAGTGTTCTGATTTCAAGATGCTGTCTGTTGGGTTATGAACAATTAAAAACTAGTCTGTTTATGTGGAACTGGCTAGTTTATCTGTCCAGGATATAATTCCCAAGTTGGAGATGAATAAGCTCTTTGTTGGTTCCTTCCAGTGTGGTATGTCCGCAGGGGCATTTACTGGGGTTTCCCGTTGGCTTACATCCTCTCATCCTGCAGCCTTAAGTTCACCTACATGCTGTTCTCTTCCACTAGGAAAACGCTGCCGCGGTCCACAGTGTCGATTCTGGATGACCACATTAGCCACTACCCACAGCTAGAGGATCCCATGGGCTTCTTGAATGCATATATGGGCTTCATCAACTCCTTCTGAGCTGGAAAGAGTAGCTTCCCTGTATTACCTCCCCTACTCCCTAACTGTGTGTATTCCACTTAGGAAGAAATGCCCGAAAGAGGTCCTGGCAATCAAAACTATTCTCTCATAAAAGTCCACTTTATTCACATTGGTGAACAATAGAAACTAGGCAGCAGAAGCTCTGACTAAGGGTGACATGATAATCCACCTCCCATTCCTGTGACATCTCATCAAGGGTATGGCCTTTGTCTTTGTGTTATTGGGAAATTCTGATGAGTAATAATACTTCTCATCTATGCAGAAAAAGATAGGCATTAGACATTCCTTTGCATAAAATACTTAAAAAAACAAAAATCCAAAACCTATGAATTTTTTGGAAATGTTTAGAAATATTAATTTCTGGCTCAACCTAATTGGAACCCCATAGCAGTGAGGAGAGGAGCTTATTGCTCCAGTGGCTTAAGGCTCATATTTTATTTTTTTAAAGTTCTCTAAACAACACAGTTTAATTGAGAGAGGGAGTATCTTGTCATACCTTTGGATTTAGTTTCATCAGCTGCTTCTAATTTTAATTATTATTTGTTAAAACAGATATTGGCTTAGGGGCCTGGGGATGTAGCTCAGGGGTAATGTGCCTGCCTAGCATGCTCAAGGCCTTGGGTTCAATCCCTAGCACTGCCAAAATAAAACAAAAAAATCAAACCAAAATAGATACTGGCATAAATAATACAGTGTTCTAAGTGCTTTAAGATTGATTTTCATACACATGTGTATATATTTTAGCAGAATACAAAAACAGTTGACCCTTACTTGCTAGAGTAGAATCTCATTATATGTGTATTTGTGAATTAAACTAATTCAAACTATTTACAGAATTTCCTAAAATCATAAGACATTAAAAAAAAGCCTAACTCCTCATACCTCACTGCGTAGGCACATGTTCCTCCTGAGCTGAAGTGGAGGAGAGGGGACCACTGTAATACCTGAATGTTCACTGATTCCTCTTAAGATGACTGCTTAGTGTCCCACTGGCTGCTCAGAAAGGCTGTCTCGTGTAGCTCAGCAACTCCTGTACCTTATGGACAGGCAAGTTCCCAGACACTTTAAAAACAAATTCTGAAAGACCTATGAGCAAATGGTGCTGAATACTTTTTTAAGCCACAGTTTCACTGTCTTAATTCAAAGCAGATTATTTTAAATTCATTTTTTAAATTAGAAACTTCAAGTATAGAAATTTTGAAACTGGAATAAGTGTTTATTTTCTATTAATAAAAATGAATTGTGACAAAAATGGATTCTGGCTTCCCCTCCCCCTCCACCCCTCTGAGATAAAATTTTCCAACATTGCCAAACGTTTTCACACATAAATAGAAGACTATAATGAAGCTAAGCAGCTGTAGTATAGCATAGTATCTGATTTTCAAGACCACTCAAAGCTGCACTGTCATACCAAAGCTGCACATGAGAGACAATGAAAAAGGAAAAACCAAACATGGAGACCCATGCACAAGGACAGATGTTTGCTTGATCTGCTGGCTTAGGGCCAAACACTGGATTTGCTTCTTCAAAGTCATTAATCTTTAAGTGGGATTCTGGGACATTCATGCCACTAGCCTAAAAGCTCAATGACAGGGAAGGGTAGGTACATCCATTTCATCTTTCCCAGTAAGAACTTATCCCACAGAAGCCAAAATAACATCAACAGGTGTTCTCTCTTTGCTTCTGACTGTCACCTGCATGGTCACTCCATCTGCTAAGGCCAGTCTGGACCTCACCAGTAAGTCATAGCCGCCTCTGTATACACCTGAGAGAAAAAGAGTTAAGGAAATATGTGTTAAGAACTCCAAAGAAACTCTGAAGTAATCAAATTTAACATGTTTGACCTGCAACTCCTTTCTATTATTTTAGTTTAGCTTTTCTACAAATTTATGGACAATGATTCTTACAAGGAGATTCTAATTTTTAAATATTCATATGCAAACCAGGTACATGGAAGGTATTCGATAGCAGTGATTTACTGATTTAGAGTGCTCAAAAGGTGGTGAGGGGGCAGATTTAGGTATTTTAAACTAGCTGTACCTCTTAAATGAATAACCTAATGATAAGTGCGAAATGAATTTCACTTTGATTGGGCTTCAAATCGTTACATAATGTGATTATAGGACAACAGCAGAGCAGAGGAGGCCCACCTACAATCTTCCCTTTTAAATTCTGCTACAAAATTTAAGGGAAATCTGATGGAAGTCTCTTACCTGCCAGATAGAGTGAGTGGGAATTCTTATTCTCAGGTACTTTATCTGACCTCTCACATGGCTGCATGCCCAGAAATGTGATGATGTTGTTGACAGCTTCTGTGTTGAAAAGGTTTATACAACAGTATTAGAAAAGTTAAACACAGGGATCTGCCCCTGTGCCAGCATGTTCTAGGAACTGCAGGTGCACGAGATTGTGGGCAGAGTGGAGGGGGGCTACTAGCCTAGAAAGTGGTTTAGTTCAGTTAGGTGATGAAGACAGGGACCTAGCCTTTTGGGTAAATAAGGCGTGTTCAGACAGGAAGGAGTTCTTTTAGAATAACACATCTGCTCACTGGGTTTTATGGTGACACCAGGCAATATACTGACAGTAAAACTGTTCTTACCTTCAAGGGTTTTGGTAGAGCTGAGAGCAAACGTTTCTTCTTTCTCAAAGGTATCTCCCACCTCTTCCCAGGCAGCAGCAAAGTTAGGTTTCAGTACCTTCTGGATATGGTCGGACACAGTCACTTCAAGATCTTCTAGCTAGTGAGCAATAAGTGTGGGTCAGTAAATAAAAGTCCTTTGAGTTTACAACAAAATAACAGGAACTAATAATTCATCAATTCCTGCAAGGACCTGAGGGAAACTCCTACTCTAATTTAAGTTATGTTGTCTGGATAAACCTAATGCTATAGGCTTTGAGCAACGAAAAGCAAGAATAATCTGGCAAGAGCCAAGTTTAGGATCAGCATCTATAGCCCTGAGGTGCACAGTAGGCATGTTACCACACTTAAATCACAGAGTTCAGGTCATAGAGTACCTTCTAAACTTTGCATTCACTACCAGGTTTGTACTTTAACTTTGTTACCCCTCCTTTCTGTGAATTTTTTTTTTTTTTTTTTTTTTTTTTGGTCCATGATCTGGCAGTATTATAGCCAAACTAAAAGTTGCTGAAGCAAAAACAAAGCCCACTTTAAATAAAATTGATCTCATGAAAAATCATGTAGTTATTTTCCATCTCTTAGTTATCCTTGTAATAAGGAAAAAGGGGTGAATTTTTTTGCTTAAATTAGTTATAAAGTGGTAATTTTAATTCTCATTGTCATGATGTAGTCCCATATAGAGAGAATCAGTCCAGGTCCTCAGTTGTCATGTTTGAGAAGAGAAACCCTCTAAGTTTATGCCAGCTCTTCCTAGAAAAGTGCTTTCAAGGCAGAAGCCATGTACCGTTGCAAAGGTATCAAAGTCTGCAGGGAAGACTCACCACATATTCATCATCATACCCATCTTCATCCGGAACTCCAGTGTTAGGGTCACAGTCCCGGACTGTAAATTTCATGGTACAGCTAAAGGTGCTTGCAACTGGAGGGAACAGCAGGCAAATCCACTTGAGTGGACAGCACACGCAAAACATTTCCATTGTTACTTAGGAAGTACCCCCTATGCTAAGCATTGTGCTCCACATTTTCAAGTAATGTATACATGCCCTGTTTCTAGGGTAGCAGTTATCAAAGCAGCATGAGAATGGGTCAGGAAATCAGTCTCACAAGGTATGATGTGAGAGTTTTCTGCGCCCTAGACTAGAATAGTGCAGAAGAGATGACTTGGGGAAACTGATTTTGCATTGACGTGAAGAAAGAGGCAGGGGAAGTCTTTTTGGGAAACTTTTTGTCATGTCTGTCCAAAGGGACTGTATGTTGAAAAATAAAGAATCACTGCTCTAGTACACGACAAAGCAAAAAATATTGACAACAAAGCATACAGATCAAATTAACACCGACCAAGTACATAAGAGTCTTGCTATTGTCTTTAGATTGTAGACTTGAGTGGATCTACAGATCACCAGAATGAACTGCTTTAAGTCAACTTTCAATCTCCAGTGAATAGATTAAAAATGAGGTTTTTAGTATTGATAAAGTCAGTATCTTAAAATAGAAAAGTAAATATGCTTTGTGTATTTCCAATGACTGACAGCAGTAATAAGAAATAAATAATAAAAAATGGGGCAATTTTGGAAACTGAAGTCTTCATGATGGCAGGATTTTCTAAGCTGTTTGAAGGAGGGGATTTGGCCAGGATAGCTAGAGAAAAGGTACTTATGGTCTAATGAATGATCTGGAAAAGCCTTAAAAGCACAAAAATATTAGAAATTGGAGCATTAGAAAGCTATGGGGGGTGAGAAAGGGGAAGAAAGAGGCTCATATGCACAGAACATATATGATAGTATGGTAGTATGGGCAGTAAGATTTACTTGCTTAGTCTTTAAACATCATCCATCCATCCGTCTGTCCGTCCATACGTCCATCCACCCATTCATCCAATATATTGACATTAATGTAAAGGTATAAGGTAATAATCCATGAAAATGTGAGTGAGACATGATCCCTGTCTCCAAAAGCTGACTATCTAGGAGTTAAATGAATGTGATATATGTGATTGATCTATGACATTACAATTCAATACCATAAATCCTTTAATATAAATTTTAATAGAGTACTCCACAAAGTTGCAGGATTAGCAGCCTGAGGAAATTATAAAAAATGTGAAGAGATATAACAGTGTAGCTGGATGGCAAAAGATGGCAAAAGACATGTGGTGAGCAGAGAAAGTAATGAACAAAGGGAAGAGGACAGGAAATTGGGAACAGTAAGGTATGTGAATATATGTATTGCTGATGAGATTTTGTTTAGGAACAATTTAAAATACTTTGTATTGAAAATTAGTTTGTGGTGAGCTATGAGGCAGTCAAGAGACTGAGAGGTTATATTGGAGCTAAATAATGTAGTGTTTGAATTTAAACCATGTGTAGGAATCCTAAGAATACATCTGTGTTCAGAGGATAGATCCAAAAGAATATTCTGAAAACAGATGATAGTAGTGGGTGACTCATACAGGACAGATTGTATGAAAACTACAGAATTTGTATCAATTAGAGATTGAGCAAAGAATGGCCATGGTTTAATTAAGGTGGGATTTTCTTCAGGAAGGAAGAGGAAAGAAGGCATAGTTAACATAAACCCAAATAGGTCAGCTGAGGTGTTCATGAAAAATGAGGGATAGGACTGTGATAAGGTGATGATCAAGTAAGAATGAAGAGTCAGGATAGAAATTAATAAATTAAATGAGCCCCAAATTAGACAGAGAGGCTATAAGGCAAATGAGGAAGAGGAGTAAAGGGAGACAAAAGTGAATGGTAGACAACTTGATCATTCATACCCATGCACAGCCTGGGGCAAACTGGTTGAGGTTTATGTAGAAGTGAAGAGAAAAGGTGCTTAAATGTATTAAGTACCTGATACAGAGGACTAGATTAACAGAAGAAAGAAAGACTGAAACTTTTGTGGCAAATATTTGATTAAATGATTTGGTTGATACAATGAGGGTTTACAGGGAATCTAAGAGTAACTACAATAAAAGCCACTGGCAGTAATGTATCAATATAGCTAGAGATGACTGATGCTGGGTAATGTATCAATATAGCTAGAGATGACTGATGCTGGGTAATGTATCAATATAGCTAGAGATGACTAATGCTGGGTCACAGGAAAGAAGGCAAGAGCACAAATGCACTGTCATAAAGGTTAGAGTTTCATAAAACAGACAAGGCAAACCTGAAAAGGAACAAGCAGGGTATGCCCGAGGACCTGTGCTGAAAAGGCTTAGAACTGAGACATATTTTATAAGAATTTGCTGAAAATCAGAGTCAACTACTAAGGAGATTAATAGGAGAATACAGAATTATGAAAAGGTGGATGCTGGAAGCTATGTAAGGAGTGGGATATGTAATTGGGCTGGGGTGCAGAATGTGTAATAAGGCGCATGTCAGAACAGAAAGTTGGAGAGGCTGTCAGATCTCAACCACTGAAGGGAAGACTGATAAAATAAGAAAGAGATCCAGATCTGAAGAGATTCCAGAAAGCTTTGTCAAGATAATTAAAAGGAAGGATGTGTCAAGAGAGCAAAAACTTAAGAGGGTATAAGGAATTAATTTGAAACAGGCTAACCACAGCTACCCATGTAAGTCTAGACTGTCCTGAGAAGAAGAGATGCAATATAGTGTGCAGGGAATTAAGGAGGATGAAAGTGTGTTAAGCAGTGAATGCCAAGAATGAATAATGGATACTTACTCAGCAGACAGTGCTGAATCCATGGGAATGCTATACACAGGGCAGAAGGGATGCTAAAAGTAACGCTTTTCTCTAGGTCAAAGGAGGAAAAGTAACATTAAAGTTAACCTCAGATGATTAAGGAATGACAGCCCTCAGAGGTTTGAGACTGCATTCCTGGGCCCCAAACAGGAAGGGATGAAAAGAAAAGGTAGATTAGAAGCAAGGGGAAGGAGCTACATAGTTGAAGGCCAACAAGCAGAGAAGGCACAGAATAAAGATCTCAAATGCAAAGTCCTGTCAGAGCTCAAGGTAAATCTAATTGGTCATATCTGGGCATCAAGACCACAGCAAATGCTGTGAGGAAGAACTTGAACAGGAAACTTTGCAGGGAAATTGTTCACTAAAGGATTTGGTTGCTAGGGAAGTTTATAAGGAAGCAGATTAAGATGACAAGAGTCTGACAGCTATCACTGACAACTTTAGAACCACAAGGCTGGCTTATTAGAGGCTGTGGGCTGGTAGTCTGTCCAGGGAATAGATTATTGTTAGGAGATGGGGAATGAGTGAAGATTAGGAGGAGGCAAACTCATCTGAAGAATTCTGCATCCATATTGACTATACTGAGATGGAAACTGAAAGGATGGCAGATAGTTAAAATACTGAAATGACTGCATAGTGTGCCATTAAAGTTGCTGATATGCTTTGTAGAGATTGGCTGAAAGTGAAATAATCCCCAGGGAGACTTGTATGAAAATAACACAGAGGAGAAAACAGAGGCTGGAGTCTGAAAAAGGAAAAAGTGAGTAGCATTTAGGGAGGGAGGACGAAGTACAAAAGGGTATGTAGGGAAGGGCATTAAAGAGGGCCAGAATGAGGAATGCTAGAACATGACAGAGTTGGATTTGCAGGAGAGAGATGCATATTAAGCTAGATTGCAACCAAAGATGGAGAGAAGAATGTGGAGACAAAATGGCCAAGAATCAGTGTTATGAGAGAGTGTCATCTGGGAATCTTTCCTTGAATAATATTTGAAGCAACTGATATGACTTAAGGATCAAGGAGTAAATATGGGAAGGAGCTGAGCCATGGCCAATGGCAGGGATCCTATGAAGATCAGAACAGTGTAGAACCAAGGAAATGGAAGAAATGATTTCTGAATTCATGAGAATGGCATAAAGGTGGTTGCTGAAAAAAAGTAATTGTGTAGGGAATATAGGTGTTTCTCTTAGGGTCAAATGGGAATGAGTGGAAGAGCCTGTAGGAATGGTGGGGTCATTTGAGGAATGGCAAGTATTGATGAAAGGGTTATGGCACTATAATTGTACTCAAGATAATGACTCAGTAAGGAGGAAGAGACTGGGAACTGTGTACTGCGAGCACTGTGCATTAACAGGAGGAGGAATGGCATGGCCAGATAGGATGAGCAATTGTGTTTCCCAGAATAAAAATCTGTGAGACCATACAACATGCATCTTCAGGCCAAATGTTGGGCCTTGAAGCTAAACTTTAAAAAAAGGCATGTGAGAAGAACAAGGGCATTTGTAGTTAGGGAAGCTTTGTTAGGAGTTTTAACTGGAAGGATCAGTAGGAGATGGGTTAAGGTGAACCCTGTAAATAACAAGGGAAAGCATATTTGTAGGATGGATGAACAATCTTGGGAGAGAATGGCTGATGATTAAGATGGGAAGTACCTGAACTCTAGAGTAAAACTTCATTTTTATTTCCATGGAAAGATGGGGGGTGAACTTCTATGTAAGATATAGGAGGACAAGTTGACAAATGCATGCTGTGTAAAGCACTGCACTGAGTTACTCTGTTGTACAAAGTTTTTTTTTTTTTTTTTGTAAAAGGGAGACATACTGGAGAAAGAATCTAGATAGTGCTATTCAAGAGGAGGTTAAATCCATTTGCATGGAACACAGATGGTTTCTAAAATAAGAAAGGTTGATGATTCAGCAGCATATTTGCTTAGGGCAAGATAGATAAGGAGGAGAGGAATGGGAAAATGCAGATGAAAAACATGGCAGGTACTGACTAGAGGGAGAAGGCCCTATATTTGGGTCAAAAGACAGAAGAGAGGCTAAATCCCTGAAAGAACTGTGTAACTTAGAGAACGATGCTGGGGTGGCATGGTAATAGACCACAGAGCCATAAAGATCCCCAGAATGGAGTTTTCAGATTGCCATGATGAATGTATGGGAGAAACCTAATAGGAATGAGAGTTGAGTAAACTCACTGTTCATGCCGGGGTGG